CAATAACAAAATATTTTGAATAATTCCCATCTCTACTTATAATAGAAGCTAATGGGCAGTGTGATTTGAGTCAGTAGTTTTTCTGTTTTTTTTTTAGTACATTTTTATTAGTGGTAATCAATCATACTCCTTTAAAGATCCATCCTTTTACTGGTTCTTTTAGGTTTTTTTTTGGCATTGGTGCAAAGAGGCTTTCTGGGACCTTAATTTTTAAGAGCGCATCCTTAAAAAGCTCTAGAACAAAGGCAAGGGGTCATATTATGAGGTTCAGATGCTGCAGAGATTTCCGTGCTGTTCCTCCGATACTCTGCAAGCTGACGTTCGGAAATCCCCTCGGTTACCTCACTCAGGCTCTGGAAAGTCAACAGCACGTCTTTTGCTATCTTATGCAAGATTCCTTAGAGAGGAAAAGCAGCTTCGAAAATCTGTGCTAGAAGCCTGAGGAGGGGTTGGGGGGGTGGGAGTGGGAAGAAAGCCAGAACTTGCTGTGTGTGTGTAGTAGGTGGATAGTAATTGGATACATTTACTCACAGTTGTGCACAAAAGTTTGAACACCCCCGGGTCAAATGACGTTTTTGAACGCTCATTTTTCTCCGATTTCTTTACAGTGGTGCTGATAGGAACCAGGGGTCACCATGTCCACAACACAAATATAACCATTTTATTTACTATTCAAAACTATCAGTGAACTTACATGTGTCTTCTGGGTTTATATATGCGATGCTGATTATGACTAAACTGGCAAATCTGGTTTTCCTGTGCATGTACCTCTTCACCTTTAATGAACTTTAAAAAATAAATACATTTTAGGTCAAAACTTTCTCAAACCACTTGTAAACCAATGTCTCAGGTAACAGCATATTTGTAGCCAATTCGTGCAATGATCTTCCATGATGTAGCTTTTAAAGGCATTAAACTCTTCAGACGTCTGGTTCCTATCGCCACCACTGTTGAGCACGACTGTGACGTGGTAGGTTTCTCAACAATGGCACATTCCACATCAAACTGCTCTGAAAGACTTTATCTCAGTGATTTAATTACACAGAAGCTTTGAAACATGGATGGAATTCCCCTTTTTTTGCAAATTTTAGTGCACAATTCCTGTTTATTTCTCAAATTTTGCTAAACATATAACTTTCACACAGGCCACATTTTATGTTTTATCACCAAATCTAAATGAAATTGCATTGAAATGTGCAGTACTTAAGCACATTTTTGATGAGTTTGTACTTTTGAATGGATAATATTTTTATTTTAGGTCAACCTATACAGAAAGCCTGCTTTCCTGAGCTCCTTTCCTTTCAATTCAATTCAGTTCAGTTCCTTTTTTGGGGGTTTAACTTCATTCTGCCCTGTTTGTTATTACAGTAAGGCAGGCTGCTTTACTATTGTCACACTTCTCGCTTTGGAGCTTTAGCACTTTATTTTAGACCAAAACGATCTAAAAAGAGAAGAGTCATGTGCTTCAGTGACTTTGCTTGATGCTGGATGTACTAAGAAACTTCACTGCAGTTCTTTGAGGAACTTCAGATTTTTAGACCTGATACCTTTTAACTTGCGTTAGGCTACTCTGCCCACCACTGTATGTGTAGTCACAGGGAGATAAAGCAAGAAGAACATGATGTCTGAGAGAAGGAGAAAAAACAGAGAACAGCTGTAGGATGGGTTTATTAAATGAGAACCAGACTGCACAAAAAAAGAATAAAAAAAAAAGTGCAGATTTGAGCATTGGTCCACCAGGGTCGCTCAGGGTTCCATCAGAGACTTACAGAGAGGCACACTTGATCCAGCGTGAGACTTTTTCACTACACTACAACTACATTATACATCATACATGGTCCACTCTCAGAAAAATTAGTTCAGCCCTTCAGCAACTCCACACTGTAGCATTTACTACACTGAAAATAACAGTGCTTTGAATTTACTTGATTTAAACATGTACATTTGTTGTTTTTTTGCAGTAAGCGTGTTGATGTAATACATTTCATCCATGTGGAAATCAAGTCAAGTACATCCAAAGCACTAATTGTTTTCAGAGCAGGGAAAACTGGTCAGTTAAGGTGTGCACTTCACTCTGGAGGTCCTGAAGTTAATCATCAAAGTCCCTTATTCGAATTAAACCAGTGCGATCACATTGATTACATATCATTCATTGCACTACATCACTAACATCAACAATGGCACTGCGATAGAATCTCAAACAAGAGCACTGTGAAAAGGGGTAAGGGAGAAAAAGCTGGCACCTTTGCATCGGTTAACATCGGCTATTGTATATTTATAGCCTTCTTTTTCATCAATAATAAAAAAACAAAACAAAAACAAACAAAAAAAAAAAATCAAAATGGACTAAAAAATGGTCAGTACACTTCTGTGACTTTAGGCACAAGCATAAAGCTAGGGTTAGTGTAAAAACATAAAACACGAAAGACACCCATTCATTTCCATTTCCGTCAGTGTGAACGGCGTATTCATTCTCCATTAGCACATTCACTGACACAGGCAGTAATGGCTGAATAAAAACCACTCGAATACAGTCAAACTGCACTGATAGCAATTATACACTGTAAATGCAAAAAAGACACTTTGCTGTAAAACCTTTTCTATATCGCACATTTTAGCTGAGCTGTTTTTGAACAAAATGTGGAAAAAATTTCACAGCATGTAGGTTGTACACAGATGTTAATGTGGTGTCATCATCACAATTATTTGACTGCAATTACTTCCCCCAGTTACTAGCTTTCATAATCATATGTTCATGTAGCAATAATCACAATGAGAATGAGGGTTCGTTTTTAACAGCTGAGTGAGACAAATGCATGTAAATAAGAGGAAGCATAACATGCAGAAATTTCTGCGACGTCATGGGTGTTATACAAACTTGGTGTTACAATATAAACATGGTATTTGTTTATTTGATGTTTGTTAATAGCTCCTTTAGAGGGCGTCGGTGAGTAATGTTTGTTAATAACGCCTTTAAAGGGCAGCACTGAGTAATGTTTGTTTAATAAATGTTTGCTAAGAACGCCTTTAGAGGGCGGCGGTAGGTAATGTTTCTTTGATGTTAACATTTTAGAAGGCGGCAGTAACATTTGTTTAATTAATGTTTAATGTTTAATTAATTGTTAATTAATGTTAATAACACCTTCAGAGGGCAGCGAGAAGTGAGAAGTGTTTGCTTATTTGATGTTTATTGCAAACAGTGGTGATTAATATTTGTTTATTTGATGGTTGTTATTTTCACCTTTAGAGGGCGACGGTGAGTAACGTTTGTTTATATTTAGTGTTTGTTAATAACACCTTTAGAGGGCGGCGGTGAGTAACGTTTGTTTATATTTAATGTTTGTTAATAACACCTTTAGAGGGAGGCGGTGAGTAACGTTTGTTTATTAGATGTTAATAACACCTTTAGAGGGCAGCGGTGAATAATGTTTGTTTATTTGATGTTAAAAACAGCTTTAGTGGTCAGTGGTGATTAATACTTGTTTATATAATGTTTGTTAATAGCCTTTAGAGGGCAGTGGTGAGTACCGTTTGCTTATTTGTTGTTTATTCATGACGCCTTTAGAGGGCGGCAGTAAGTAATGTTTGTTTATTTGATGTTTGTTAAAAACACCTTTAGAGGGCGGCAGTGAGTAACGTTCATTTATTTGATGTTAAAAACAGCTTTAGTGGGCAGTGGTGATTAATATTTGTTAATTTGATGTTTATTAATAATGCCTTTAGAGGGCAGCAGTGAGTAATGTTTGTTTATTTGATGTCTGTTGTCAGCTGAGAGTTAGTAAGACTATAGCTAACCAGACAATTTGGCAACTTTAGCCAAGTTTTAACTGGAAATTAATTGTCAGATAACATTTCATGATAGTGACAGGCCTTCCAAGTTAAGCTTTCTCCAGTTTGTTCTCAAAAAGCCCAACTAAACACTGTGACGTTACCAAAAAAACACTTAAACACATCTATTAAGATAAATGTTCAAAACCTCCATATTTTTTGCATTTACAGTTGAATTGTTGCTACTACAAGCCGAGGTGACAACGCTGGCTCCAAACACTGACTTTTACAGAAGTGGCAGAAGTTGTTGTTCCAGCACTAATAGCCACACCTCCGCGCTCTACCTCCCTATTTCCTGAGTTTAAACCAGCCATAAGGGAGACATCAAAGCCCAAACGTCCTTCATTTCTTTGTCACTTCCCACCTGTGCCTTCCTAAATTCCTTTCCTGTGCTACAGTTGCCTGCCATTGCATCTCTCTCATTACAATGATTCCAACACCCTGCCAGAAAAATATCCTCACACAGGGCACCGATTTCCAAAACCTCACCATTGAAGCGGCAAAAACAGTGCGCTATTCATTCACAGCCAAACACAACCCTCACTTTCATGGACTCTTAGCAATGATGTATTAAACTGCTTTCCACATATGGAGCATGACTGTTTATTATGTTCCTGTTGAAATGCAACTTCCAAAACAACAGAGGAAGCCAAGCTTAACACCCCATGTCCTCTTTATTTGTCTAAACAAGGCTTTGCTCATTGCTTGCATTCATGAAGTCATGGAGTTTTAAAGTCATACACAATGAAAGGTAGCACAATCTGTGGTGTACCACTGCCCATATGGTTTCCTTCATTTGCAATTACTTCATTCTGTGTGATCTGGATGTATTTTTGACCACGATACAAGTCATGAAAATTACATTACTGAAGTACACTCAACATTTCACTTTGACTTCTCTGCGCCAACTTTTGAATGAATGCTGACATTCCTCCTCTTCCTTATAAACACTGACCCACAAGCAATGACAGAAGACAACGTTTAGGCCACTGGAAGTGCTCAAAGCTAGGACTCTCGTTACCCCAGTTACCTTGTTAAATAAAGTAAACATTAACAGCTCTGCCTAGTCTAACTGGACCCTTCCAATAAAAAAACGTTAAATAGAAAAATAATAAAATGACACATGGTAGGTAGAAAGTACAGTATAAAAAACACTAAATCATACAATCAGAGGTGCTCAAATATGGAGTGTTAATTTTTTCCTTTTATCTTCACATGAGGCAAATACTTCTTTTTTTTTCTAGATTTCTCCTCTAGGAGAGGGTGCAAGGTTGGGGAGAGGATGGGGAGAGAGGGGAAGTGTAGAGGATTGAGAGATGTAGGGGAGGTTGACAGGGTTTGGGGAGTGGAGAGTCAAAGGCCCCTTGGACGATTTGGCTCGAGGCATGATGTTGGAAACATCTCCACTTGCAGACATCCCTCGCCTGCAACCCCCTGATCTCCTGCAGAGAGAGGAGAGGTCTAGCCCAGGCTGGTGATGTTGGCCCTGCCACCAGGGGGCGCCACGATGCGTTGAGTGGTACGGCGTGGAATGTTGTCGTCAACCTGAGCACCTGAGAACAAATCAGTAGACGAGAACATCAGTGTAAGGCAGCAAGGACAAAAACACTATTATAAAATAGTTCCCCGATCTAAAATCTGACTGGGTGATTCATGTCTGAAAACATGAAAATGTAAAAAATGCACATAAATGAACACAGTTGTACATGAACACCCCTGGTCAAAAACTTAAATAGGTATTTTTTCTATAGATTTTAGCATTTATTTTCTGAGTTTAACATACTGGAAGAAAATAAAACATAAAATATAAAATGTGCCACAACGTTTGCACAGACCACCATTTATGTTTTATTTGTTCTACTGATAACAAATTGAAATAGGGTTTTTCAAGTGGTACCAAACTTGTAGTGGATATTGGCAATGAACAGTGAGTATGTTTACATGCGCATCATAATCGGATTTCTGCAGTTTTATGATTGTTCAACTGGTCATGTAAACAGCATACTGAGATTTCTTAGATCAGAGTAAGGCCTAGAAATCGGATTTCTCAGCAGCGTTGCCGCGAGATGGCAGCAAAACACTTTTGGAGCAACACTGAAACAAAGTACATGCTTGACGAAATGAAGGATTTAAATATTCTTCCTCTTCTAGATGATGTATGTTCATATTTTCAGGTAAAGTGGTGCAATGTTTAAATTAAAAAAAGCGTTTTACGTTACGTTTACATCACGTCTTCTTCTGTGAGTTTATTGAAATCTGATTACTGCCTGACTCGTGTAGACCTGGAGTTTCACGTTATCTGATTACTCAAGTGCATGTAAACGTGTTGACTGGATTACTGACAAAATCTGATTTTCTGCAGTTATCAGATTATTAAGTACAGGTAAACACACTCATTCATTACAAAAAATCTCATACAAATCATGAAATAGTTTGCAGGAGAACAAAGAAAACAGTGCTTTTAACCACTATTTCTCATTTTACTTACCATTAAAATTATTTGTCTTAGATTTTGACACCTTGTTTTAGGCCTATTTAATATTTGTTAAACTTTTTTGCTTTTCTGTGGCTGAAATTTCAGTGCATCCCTAAATAACACACAAGTATTTATTAAACATTGGTATGTTTTATCATGTCACATTTTGTTACAATTTTATAAAAACGAACTTCATGCTAGGATGTGCATTAGTTATTTTACCCCATTTATAGGGGAGCTTCATTTCTTCATCAGTTTTGGACCCTTTCACTACTAAGATCACACCAGAGCTTTCTGCCCTTGTTTTGGCCGTGATCAGTATGTTTATTCAACATTAGGCTGTACAGTACTAGACTATTACAGTGATTTACTGCAGTTCTGCGGCTGTGTGCTCATTCCTGAGGACTTTTGACAGGACTCACCAGACAGACTAAATCCAGACTGGTGCAGGTTGCGGACGGGCTGCGCGGCCTGCTTGGCTGGAGAAGTTTTGGCAGAGGAAGCAGGAGTGACAGCCTTGGGGGTCACGGACACCTCGCAGACTGGCCCATCATAAAGACCCCGCGGGACACCCCTTAACTCAGCAAGCTGCAGAACACAGAGGGGAAACCAGAGGATAAGTTTTAACTGCACAGAAACAGCACAATACCACCGTTTCTTTTTCAGTGCTGATATCAGAACTGACACCTTGTTACCAAAACCAATTAAACTCACTCAAGATCATCTGAAACTGCTCAAGCCAAACTTTTAAGCTTTTTTTTTTTTACATTCTTTCAAAATTCATCTAAACAAACAGAAATAGCACTTACAGTGCAAACCTGTGAAAAATTAGATTATTTTATGTATTAATTACTATGAATACTGTAATTCTAGTGTAAAAGAGATAGAGCTGGGCAATGTGACAATGTTCGTGGGTATCATCTGTACTTAAATAACTGCATGTCAGATTAAAAAAAAGGCACAATAAGTCAAGTTAAATGGATTTAGTGTGGCACTGTATATAAAATGTGCAATACAAATCATTAGATTCACAGTTTATATTAGCATTTTTTTAATGTGGCACTTCATGTGGCTTGAACTTATCAGATGTCAGAAAAAAAATATTGTGACATACAATGTATCGCGAAAAGTTTCTAGATATTACATTTTTGCCATATCGCTCAGCTCCACATATAACATACTGAAAGAGCTCATGGTAATGCTAGGCTACATATGGCTAGTGTTGTTATCATGTAATTTCACTTTATGTCGCTTTATATGATACTGCGCTAAAAGCATAGATTTGTTACAAAATTGGACTTGATTCATTCTTTTATTCCTCTAATATCCAATCAATAAAGCACTACAGTGGTCTGTAGGCCACAAATGAGAGCCAAGCAACACCAACAAAGCACAAAGTAACAGCAAGCACACCAAAGCCAATGTATATTTAGCTTTCTGATTCATGTTTACATGATTTAACCATCTGTAAGTACACTACAGAGTAAATATGTTAAGTAACCATGTATTTAAGTCCAAAATAAACCTACCATTAACCAACCCGTAACACACAGGGATCCTGGCACAGTCAAAACGACATCTTTAAAAGGGATCATATAAAGGAAAGCTGTTCTGTACCCTGCTGCGGGCCTTTATCCTCTTGTAGACGTAGTCGGGGAAGGGTTTTCTGGCCACGTAACGTCCCGAGCCCTCTGTGGTATGGAGGGTTCCGTCCTCCAGCACGATTTTTCCCTGGCTGATCACCACCAGTGGTGCCCCGCGCACCTCCATGCCCTCGAAGATATTATATTCCACTGCCTGCAAACCAGAGAGGGAAACAGACAACACACAAACATAATTCTTACAAAAGTAAGGTAATGGCAGCTCGAACAGTTGCTTAATTAATTATTTTGGTTAGAAAATGAAAAGGAAAATGGTAAAAATATGGAGAAATTTTTTTTTGCTGGACAGACATTATTTAAGATATTTTTTTTTTTTTGTTGAAAATCCCAAAATCCATTTATGAAGTTATGTAATAACTGCAGTTTTGGAGACTACACTTAATCCTTACCTTCCTTCTCTCTCTCTCTCTCTCTCTCTCTCTGTCTCTCTCTATACATACATACATACACACACACATATATCTATATCTACATATATATCTATATCTATAAATATCTATATCTGTGTATATATATATATATATATATATATATATATATATATATATATATATATTTATTATTTATATATATATATGTATGTATATATATATATATATAATTTTTTTTTACACTTTTTGCATACAGTAGTTGCCCCTTGAATTGTGTGTAAACATTTAATGATGAATTTCATGTTGAACGGACCAACAGAAATGATCCGAAATTAGCTAAAATCCTGCACACAGAGAGGATCATAAATTTACAGCCCAAATTGGTCAATGACTGATTTATAGGGCCAACTTCAATTAGCCTTTTTAAAAGTTCTCACTGTGTGAGCTAAATAAAGACAAGGTTGTGACATAACTGGCATGTTAAATTTGTAAATGAAAAATCTTTTGCCATTTTAAATAACATGAATCAAATAAAGTGCTGCATCTAAAGTAAGATGAAACTGGCTATTTAGCCCTATGAGTCATGTGTAATAGAGGGGTTTTATTCCAAAACACATTACAGACCACTTTCATGAATTTTTCTGTCACAATATATGTCATACACAAGAAATATCAGTGCTATATTATAAATAACACCACTTTAGTAAAACAAATACTGTTTGTATTGTGTTTTTTTCCATTAAACAACAGCTGTAATCCTATAAAAACCTACGTCCAAAATTGTTACTATGTTTCTTTAAAAATTACTCAGCTTTAAATTACCTTTTTAACTGAAGCACTTAAGATGGTTAAGACGCTTTAACTACTTGAATACTCAACTACCCCACAGGAAGCAACAGCTAACAACATCACATCACACAGTGTGAGTGAGTGCTGCTTGTTACAGGATGTTCTGCTGATACTGGCCTAAAACCTACACCCAGTATTGGATCTGAGAAATCTCTGCTTTTTGGAAAAAGCGATGAAAGAAAATTCATCAACAAGTGTTCAAATTTGTACAACATTCAGTGAACTTTTTTGGAACGGAAGCACAGATAAGCACAGACCAGCTGAACTGCTTGGCACTGTGTTTTTTTTTGGTAAAGGGGAAATATGACATCAACATCATGTTCGCTTTAAAGCAGGCGCGAGTGGTTTTGTTGGTTATCTGAAACTACCAATTGCTCCAAAGCCACTTCCTGATTGTGTTCCTACATTGCAGTTCATGGTTCATGTTTTGTAATCTTTATTCTTCCATCTTAACACTTTATGATGTGTTATGGTCTGGTGTGCTCTGTGATATTCTGTAGAGGGAAAGTTGGACGGGGCAGCAGGGAGAGGCAGTGCGTGAGTTCTCGGAGGCAGTGAGGCCGCCCTGCTAAATATTACTGCCACGAAGCCAGTGGTGGTATGGTAAGGTCCCAAACGATGTAAAAAGAGCATGAGCTCATTCTCGTCCTCCATGCGCGCACACACACACACACAGTGCCTAGTTTTCCTGTACCTCCTTACATAGAAAGTATCCTTCCTGGTCAAATGGAAAATATAATTAAAAATCACCAGCAAAGTGAATGTGAGCCATTAAAAACATCACACTTGTATTTATACAGTGTCAGGACATGGGGTGATAAATTAATGTACTGAGGCCACGAGTTTCTTGTGGTCACATGGCCTCCATATATTTATTCTTTTTTCATTCATCATGACATTTTAACACATTTTAAAGGGCAGCTGGTGTTTACAAAAAAACTAAACAAAACCAAAACAAAAAAAAAAAACGAATGAAAAGCAACAAAAATGTCCCATATGTACCAAACAACAGAGCCACTGAGGAGACATGGCCTCAATATAATACTGGCCTCAATATATTAATTTGTGACCCCAATATATTTGTGGTTCGTTCATCAAGACATTTAGCGCAATGCAAAGGGCAGCTGGTGTTTACAAATTTAATAAATAAACAAACAGTTTAAGTTAACAAAACACTAAGTTTTGTCTCGACAGCAGCAATATTTAAGTATCTATAATTTAAAAGTCTAATTTATGATATATTTTACCTATACGTACTGATGATATGTAACATATGCATTATGTAAGCATCTATATGTCTTCTAAGCCTAGAACTTTCTAAGTGTAGCTCAGAAACTGATTTTAACTTAATCCTTAAGACCAGTAACTAAAAAAATGGTTTTGTTATGTTGTTTTAAAAAAAATATACAAATCATGCAGCTTCTGTAAAAAAAGCACACTTTACAAAGTCAGGACCACATTATTTGTCCTGTCTCTCTTGTTTCACTATGAAGGTTTTGTTCTGAAAAAGTGTATAAAAACACACACACGCACACACACACACACATTCACACACACAAACACACACACACACACACACACATTCACGCACACAAACACACACACACACACACACACACACACACACACACGCATTCACACACACAAACACACACACACACACACACACACACACACACACACACACACACACACACATTCACACACACAAACACACACACACTCGCTGCACAGAACGTGTTATGGCTGCTAACAATCAGCAGAGTTTTGATCCAACACTTAGGCAGCTTTTAACGATGACATCACTCCTATGAGTCAGAGTCCCACACCCAAACTCGGGTGAACAACACAACCAATCATCCACATTCACCACTAAAAACCCCCTCTATAAAATACTGCTTTAGCCACCTATCAGCAGAAGGACACCCTATTAGGATGTAAAATGCCATTACTGAAATCTCAATGCGCTTCTTCCACAGAACACAGCATCGTTCTGTTAGGAGTAAAGGAGCTTCTCTATGACTTATAAAGCAACAGACTTCTTGTAGGGCTACTGCTGCTGTTGAGTTTCTGCTGGTCGGACTCACCAGGTTGTGGCTCTTGGCGGAGATGATTTTGGTGACATCAGGGTCCCACAGAACCAGGTCTGCGTCTGATCCCACAGCGATGCGGCCCTTACGGGGGTACAGGTTGAAGATCTTAGCTGCGTTTGTGCTGGTCACAGCCACAAACTGGTTCTCATCCATCTTACCGGTCACCTGGGGGGAAGGACATAATAGTAATTTGTAGGGTTGTTTCAGGTTTTTGCACAAAAACATCACATTTATGTCATTATGTCATCTAACTTATATTTTGAACATTAGGAAATGTGCGTACATATATTTTTTCCATTTAGAATTTTGTTGCTGAGATATTACATAGAGTACAGTGCAAAAGCCAGACATCACTCTTCATTTATTTAATTTCCATTCAAAACAGCCATTAAGGACAAGTTAATCATTATTCAGGAGATATTTCTGAGGAGATTAGATATAAGATGATCCATTTGCATAAGGAAGGAAAATCAAAGGAAAATAAGTACGAAAATATCAGTTTCCAAAACTGGAGATTTGATTAAAATGATTAAAAGCTGCAGGGAAAATGGGACCCCTAACAGACCTGGAAGACCATCAAAGCTTTCACCTAAATCAAGCTCCACTCTTGCTTCAGATCTGAAAAAAATCCACAGGTGTTTCTGTCCATCCTTCTACTGTGAGCAGACAAGTGTAGTTGTTCAGGCTGCTAAATATCCCTGCAGATTTCTTTGAAAAGCTAAAAGTGAGTCTCCTGAAAAGAACAGAAGCTGTAATGAAAGTAAAGAGTGGACACAACAAATATATAACATGACTATTTTGACTGGAGATTAAATAAATTAAGGGTGATTTCAGACTTTTACACAGAACTGTCCTGTATATATGTACATGTATTTTTCTTCATTTGGAATTTTAGACTAGTAAAAAATTTGCCCTTTTGCCGACCATGAAAACTCTTAGTTGGGGACAGTTCTAGTAATTTGGGAAAAAAACATCCATGATGTAATCCACTGTGAGTGTGTGTGTGTGTGTGTGTGTGTGCATGCATCCGTACGGGTACTGAGATATCTACTTGCCCACAGCAGTGAGATGTCTCCAGGCCAAGAGAGCTGTATCTGTCTAAACTGGCTTCTGGGTAAATAAATCCACATGGCTTTATTTTACTGCAGCCCTTTTATCTCTAACTCACCACACATTTATCCCAGATGATGGACATCCTCTCCTCCGTCCCGTTGGTGCCCTCAGGGATCAGGGTGAAGTCGTCTTTGCCCACGGCTCTCTGGGCAGTGTTAAATGTGCAGTGGGAACTGCCGGTCACCTGCAGGTCACCACTGCAGAGAGAGATAGAGAGAGAGTGACAGAGAGAGAGAGAGAGAGAGAGAGAGAGAGAGAGAAATAGAGCAGAGAAAAAGAAAGAGAGAATAAGAAAGAATAATTGGAGATAAAAGGAGAGCAAGAAAAGCAGAGAGAGAGAAAGGTAAAACGGTGTGTTAGCGCAGGGTGCAGGTCAGTGAAGAAAGCTGAGAGTATTTTTTCAGCTTTAGAGAAGGGTGGGTATTCATTCTGAGCTCAGAGCCACCCAGGATTTCATTCTTCTCCTATTTCAGGCTTTTACTCGCCTCTTTTTCAGGCTCACTCCTCAGTGGTTTAAAATTGGCACTGCCTGGTGCTTATTTCCGCCGTGCTGCTAAAAAGCGTAGCAGAAATCCACAGTGACTGAATGTGAGCAGACAGACTTTCATCTGAGTTTCGTACCAGGACAGCAGAGAGTTCAGATAGTCGGGTGTGGTGGGGTCCGGACTGAGGGGTGGGGACGTCACATAAGCCGCAGCTTTGGCCCAGTTCTTGCTCCAGTAGTGCGAGCCGTCCGTGCCAAGACTGGCTGTTATTGGCTCTCCATACACCACAGTGCCTGCAATGTCCAATGAGTTTGCATTAATCCTACCACATAATCATACAGCAATTCTAGTCTAATTCTGGAGCCTCTCCCCTATAATGTCATATAATGGAGTTTCGGCCAAGTACAGCTGAGTCATACTGTGCTGTATGTTTTGAATGACTTCACTATGCCTCTGATCATAAATTTAGTCACACTAACTCTGACTTATAGGCTACATGGCTTTAGTGGACGCAGCACACACACTACAAGCGAAAATTTTGGAAGCAACTCTAACTTTTGTTAAAAAAAAAAAAAATCATGATAACATTATAACAGACAATAACATGGACCAAAACGTTTATTAACATAGCACTACATTTTGGAATATGAGTAAATATGATAAAATATGTTTTCGAGTCTTACCTTTCTTTCTGGCCTGGGCGATGACGTCAGCGGCACTCTTGCTCATCACCTTGGTGATGTAAAGAGGGCAGTTGGTCTGATTGGCCACTGTCACAGAGCGGTTGACTGCCTCTGCCTCCACCTAGACACCACAGAAGACCCAAATGTTGCATTCGTTACATTAGTTACTGTTACATTACAGCTGTTATATCAGAACTGTTACACTGCAAATGTTATATCACAGTTGTCACATTACAGCTTTTATATTACACGTCACACTTAAGCTGTTACATTTCAGCTGGTACATTACAGCTGTCACATTAAACTGTTACATTAAAGTTTCTGTCTTTCATTTTAATGAACTCTCGGGTGGAAGAACATGTTGCCAGTTGCATTAAACTTTAAGTCAGGAGTGCCCAATCCTGTACCCAGAGATCTTTTACCCTGGAGACTTCAGATGCCCCTGAAGGTCTTCATCACCAGGATCAAGTGTGTTAGATTAGGGTTGGAGACAAGGGTGGTAGATCTCCTGGATGAGGACTGTGCACCCCTGCTTAAAGTGTTTCCCTTAAGTATGGTCCCTAAAAGGGAATTTGTTAAGGGTGTTGCATAAAATCCCTCAGACGTTTCTCTTCGCCAAGGGAAAACACTGAAGTGTTCACTACGGTTACTGAGGTTTTGCTGTAGTAAAATACCACTGTATCCATGACAGCTTTCTCTCATTAAAGGAACTCAGCTGTAGCAGTTAACCAAAGCCAAATAATGAAACTAACCCACTCTCCTAAAATCAGCTTTGATAAGCTGTTGTTTCAGCCAAGATAAAAATTACCTGCTTAGTTATGTCAGGAAAGTGTGTCATCCTGGACGTTAACAAGAAAAATATCTCCTTGTTGTGGGACTAATAAAAGATTTTCTTATCTTATTGTATCTACAACTACGGGCTGGAAATTCCACTGGAAACATTTAACCCTCCACACACTCGCCCACACCTCAAATTCCATGTTTCTATATATGTTTCTCTTTGTGATAATATAGTGCAGCGATACAGTTCAAACATTTCCTCAATCTGTACAGTCGCCCTTTTCATTCCATCTTATCACGAGATCATATGTGACTCACATCTGGAGTTACGACACTATGAAAGGGGCTAAAATACACGTCATCTGCCTCTCACCGTGTGGAACTGGTGGATTCATGTGTCCGTCTACATTATGTGTGAAACAGACCAATGGACACTCAGGAAATCACTAAGGACTGACCAATCATGACGGAAACCCTTCATTCTTCATTCAGTCCACATCGGAGACACAAATGAAATGGTGTGCAGAGAGTTTAGAGCTGCTGAAGTTGCTGCAGTGGTCTTGGAAAGTACTGATGAAGATATCAGAGCATTTTGATATGAAACATATGGGTATCGTTTCATATCCAAGAGCCTTTAAATGCGAATTTAAGAAGTTATGCAAAAATCAAAGAAATGCCTTCAGACTGTTTTTTAAAACAGTCAGCATAAATAAATGTACTGATTCACAAGGGTACCTCCTTAACGTTTTGACTGACTCTGTATGTCATGCAAAAATAACCTGTGGTTGGTCAATCCCTTTGCTGACAAAGCAGGCAGGGTTTTAGCCAAGTTCAACAAAAAAGCTCATCATTTTCTACAGCTGGAGCCAAGTAGGGTAAAGCTTATTGCATATTCTCACAGGCTACAATAAAACCTCTCTTCTATCAAAGGTATATGTTGGATTATTGCTAATCTATGAGTTATTATTCTAAAGGAAATGACAGGTAAGAGACTTTATGCAACACTCTATGTGCGCTGGAGTCAGCTTGGAGAGTGCGGCTCAGATCTCATTGTCAGTTTTCATCTTACTCTAGCAAGAAAGGACATTAAAAACCCCTTAATGTGGTAAAGAGGTATATGAACACGTAGCACTGAGATCAATGGGCATATTGTTACAGTATGTACAAAATGTTTGTATTCTCTCTCTCTTTTTCAGTATGTACAGTATGTCTGACAAAAGTCTGGGGACACCTTGACTTCTCTGAAGTAATGTTACTTTTCAAATTAGTAAGAAAAAATATTTCTAAAGTTTTAGTTAACAGAAAACAGCTGTTTGCTAATACTTTGCTAACACTCAGCCTCTTGTTCATCATAGTGTCTTCTGTACAGCGGGATGAAGAGCAGGTTTTGCCTTTTGGCAGTTTCCTTTTCCAAACTATTGTTAAAAGCACATATTGAAACACTTTTGGCCTGAAGGTAGTTTAAACAGCTGAAGGTTTGAGTGCTGATGAGTGCTGACATTAGAACAAGGGGATCAAATGTTTGGGCCTCTGGCTTTATTCCTCAGGTAGTTCTGACGGGTGTTCATAAGTTTTTTTTATGAAGAAAAAGGTCAAGATCTAAACTGTTTTCTATTTCTTATGATATGTTATTGAATGAGCAAAACATTCTCATTGGTATTAAAACACCCGAAAAAGCCAGGTGTTCCCAAACCTTTAGAAGACAATGTAAGAATATGAATTTGACCCATTACCTCCTCTGGACGGCTCAGCACATGTCCCTCTGGTCCAGTGATGCCCAGTTCCAGAATCCTACGCTGTTCCTGTAACGAGTAACAAAAACACAACAAAGAGTCACAGAAAGAAACAGAGATGTAAAAACAGATGCACTGGTCAATGATGAAAGAGTAAATGCTTTTCTTGGATTAATTAAGGATAAAAGAATATTAAACTATTATATTCCTTTCTGACTTTCTGTAATAAACCTCTGTTCCCAGGGTTTTCTTATCTTTAGAGTTCACTGTGGCAGGTTTAAACTGTCCAGAGCCAAATGTGTGTTTTCATTAATTACCCCAAATCATAAAGGAGTTTTGCTTTGGTTAGCGTTGCCAGCATAAAGTCTGAATGCTCAGTACATAGCATGTGTTTTGACTTAAAAGTCTCAAACAGTTTATTGCTAATGGTGCGCCTGAAAGTTGGAACTCTTCTTTACCTCAGCAATGATGTCTCCGTTCTCAGCATGGACTTGCGCAATGGCGCCCAAGTCTCGGATCACACTGAACACCTCATAGACCTGCAGAAGAACACGCACACATATTCTCATAAGCCGCTTCTGACAGACATTCTGGATTTTCTGCTGGCTGTAAGGTTAACACAGCTGCAAAACGGGGCCTTACACCACCCAAGTCCCTTTTGTTTATGAATGAGTCAGAAAGGCAGCTAATACACTTTTCCCAGCGTTCTTTCATCCTTACTAGTATTTCTGGAAGCCCTCTCTTCTAAAGGAAACATTGTGTCTCAGAGGGCTATATGATGTAAATAATGGGGACTGGCTCTAGTCAGTCAATTGCTGTGCAAAGTAAGCATATCAGACAGTCAGTAAGAAACTTAGCTTGTTCATACCTGAGAGTCGGTCAGCTGGAAAACGTCTTTATATGCCAGGTAGACCAGGAAAGAGTTCACACCTGTAAAAATAAAATTTAAAAAGCTGAAACATGAGTTGTGTTAATGCAATGCCACTGTTCTGGCCTGGAGAACCACAACAATGTACTGTTTAGTGATGTCTAAAGTCCTGCTGAAGCTGATTTCAATGCAGTATGAATCTGCAGTGTGTGTATTACTTGTAGTCTGACAGTAATAACTGTGAAGTGATTTTAATCCAGTATGAATCTGCAGTGTGTGTAGTTTTTACAGTCCGACAGTAATAATTATGGAGTGATTTTAATCCAGCATGAATCTATATGGTGTGTAGCTTTCATAATCTGACAGTAATAACTGTGGAGTGAACTGTCCCCTGTAACCTAGAGCTTCTGCAGCAACAACAATCCTGTTTCAAACCACCTCTAACGCTAAAAGAATAACAAAGCATTGCCGTGTTATTATTATTGAGTCTATCCTAAGGCGTAGCGTTGATGTCAACATCTGGACTGTCACCTTTCAATCTTATACAGATCTTTTATTCCATACCAATCCCATCACGTAACATTACACAACCTCCTAATCTAGACTAAATCTAACTCAGCTCAAATAGTGCTTGGACAACTCGACAGTTAAGTATCAACCAGAAGTGTCAGAGCAGGAAATACACTACGGTGTGCAGTGCTGCAGCCCTACAAGTCAGTGAATGGGAAACACTGATGTAATGTGACAGAAGCAGTGTACCATGGTCTTTGACGAGTGTCTCCATCTCCTCCTGGATCCCTTTGTGCCACTCAGTGATGTCCACATGGAGCGAGTAATCACAACAGGACTTACTGTCGGCCCACTCATGCCACTGATTGAACGCTGCCATCAGTCCAGTACCTGGCTCTGGGACTACATGGTCGACTGTTCACAAACACAAGATGTAATACCACGACATTAAATAAGATGAGCATTATTAGACCAAAAACGAAACTTAGTTGCCCAAATGAAGCAGTGTGTGCGACCAGGCGTAATACAGTATATACTTTGGGCCTCATTCACCAACCATTCTTAACAAGAAATTTCTTCTTAAAACCCACTTACACTTTTTTAACAAAGATTCTGACATTTACCAATGCCTTCTTATTTGGAGAGAATCTACAAAAGTATAAAGGTGCAAACAATCCTGCAATTTAAGTCTAAGACAAGTCATGAATCTGACACAGACTTTTCTTAGGACCTTTCTCAAGAACAGATTTAAGAAAATACTCAGAAAGATATTGGTGAATGAGCCCCATTATTTCCAAAAGTAACTCATGGCTGACAAAGATGTGTATAATCTTCATAGAAAAACATTGACCAATAGAATGGGATCAGCCAGGAGCAGCCACACATGCCCAGTGCTAAGTGTGGGCCAGAGGGGTATAAAGCATTGGACTGTGGAGTAGTGGAACTGCATTCTCTGGAGTGATGGAGCTCCATCCAGCACCTTTGGGATGAGTTGGAGTGATTCAGAACTGACTATCCAGCATCAGTACCTGACCTCACTAGCGCTCTTGTGGCTGAATGCAATCAAATCCTCAAAGCAATATTCCAATATCTAGTGTAAAGCCTTCCCATAAATACACTATTCACGCACTATTTATACTGTAGATCTGTTAAAAATAATAGTAGTTATATTACATCTCAATACGAGTGTACACATATAGGCAGAAAGCATGTGCAGAAATGAATGCACACATACACATCAGCAAAACACATTCATGGAAAGATAAAAGCTATAGTTACTGATATAATCACAATATTTTAAACAACTGATATTAATAATGCGCTGAATTGGGGTCCACGACTGGAACTGGCAGTTTTGTTCCAAAAATCGCCCAATTTGTGTGGCTGTATTATGATGAAAATAATGTGGGGCAGGTATGTGCACTCGTGCTGTATTTGAATGCTGCTGCTACATCTTCACCAAAATTGTGTAGCAAAATAAAGCAAGACTCATTTTGGTAATTATCTAGTTGCCACTTAATTTCAATGGAGCACTTTATTTTGGTCCATGTTATTTAAATATGTAACTGATTTTTGCAAGTTTAAAATGTCAGTTGATTAAAGAACAAATCATGTTGTTTATATTGTGACTTTGGCTAATAGAAAGTGCAGGAAATGTACTAAAGTGTTCCACATGTTCATTTAGCTCACAGAGTGTAAATGTCCGCTATAAAAAGAAAGGCAAATAAAAATTGGCCAAAAAATGGCTGTAAAATCGCCACATGGCCATTAAAAAATCATGACTGGTGCATCAGCAGTGTGAGGTGTTTATGTGAAGCCCACATTGTCCTCAGTGTTCCTGCAGTGCTGTCAACTCCACCACACTCCGCTGCACAGGAGACATCCTTATAAATTACAGAGATGACTCAGCACAAAAACACAGCACAAAGCCCTCTCACAGCCTTGTGTGTGGCTATGAACGTGAAGATGCACTTACGTTTGCTTGCTTGCTTGTAGACTGGAGTTTCACATGTATGGATTATTTTGTATCAATATTTATATATTTCTGATCTGCTTCTGCTCATGAATTAATTCTTTTTATACTTCTAATGTATAATTTTATTATATCATGCTGTATTGTATTTATTTTTATGTATTTGTATTTTGCAGTGTCAAAAATGAATCTGCGCTCAAAAATCACACTTTGACATTTTTTTCTTGTCCATTTACACCAATTCTACCAAAACAAACGCCTCGTAGCAGCAAGCGTACTTGGCCAAAAATGAGATCTGATTTGGCCAACAAAATGATTCTGCCAAAAAACGCCTATTATGGTTGTGATTCTGCCTCTGCAAATATAGTGATTCTGATTCAGGCCATAAAGTGCTTGTGAGTCTACCAATAAAGCGACTCTGATTCTAATCAAAATGATTCAGATTCTGCTCAGGAATAAATTCTGACTCTACCAATAAAGTGACTCTAATTTTAATCAAAGTGATTCTGATTCTGCTCATGAATTCATTCGGATTCTACCAATAAAGTGACTCTGATTCTAATCAAGGTGACTCTGATTCTGCTCATCAATTTGTTTGGATTCTACCAATAAAGTGGCTCTGATTCTAATCAAGGTGACTCTGATTCTGCTCATGAATTTTTTCTGATTCTACCAATAACGTAATTCCAATTCTGCCTATAAAGTGATTTTGATTGTACAAACAAAGTGATCCTGATACTGCCTGTAAAGCTATTCTGATTCTGCCTGTGAGTGATTCTCATTGTACAAATACCATGATTAATTCAGAGGATTAGCTCTCTGTAGATAAAGTGAGTAATGATTTCAAACTGGCACTCCTGTAGGCACTCACTGATCATGGTGGTCCCTCCTGCCAGCGCTGCGCGGGTTCCCTGGTAGAAATCATCAGCTGCAGTCATGCCTCGGTCAGGCATCTGGAAGCGTGTGTGGACATCGATGCCCCCTGGCATTACCATCCCACCGTGGGCATCGATGGTCTTCACCCCACCAGGAACTATCAGGTTCTCCCCAATCTGCCTGAGAAGAAGAAAGGATGAGATGAGAGGAAGGATTATTTTCAGCCAATGTCTATATTCGGAACGTTTATTTTTAGAATCTTCTTCTTTTTATAAACTGTCTATTCTTAGAATTGTCTTACAAACCCTGTGACATCAAAAGAAAGCAAAAAAAAAGCATTATCTCTGCCCAGGCAAGTGGGTCTGTGTGGAATGAGCACCTGAAATACGCTTGTAGGCTTGTACTAAAACACTTACTTGATGAGGCCATCCTCCATGTAGATGTCTGCAGAGAAGGACTGGTCATCATTCACGATCTTAGCTCCTTTAATTAGGAGACGGTCACTCTGGAAATAAAAAAAAATCATATTAGCCCATATTAGATAAAGCAGATAAAAAAAAATCTCTAGTGTAGTTAACTTTTCGGATTAATTAACCCTTCTCATTATATCAACATGATCTCTAAACATTACCATATCTATATTTAAATGAAAAGAAAACGATCTTATAAAGACTGAAATTCACAATTTATGCTACAAACGAAGACTTTGAGCAAGCAAACAAATACACAGGACTATCCTCTGACTATACAAATGTTTCCAACATCTAAAACAAGCTGTTAATGATTGAAATTCGGTCTGACTGAATTTCAAAAAAATGACTGCACTAACACCAACTGCAGAAATAACAGAGGTCTTATTGGTCTGCAGGTACTGTAGTATTATCACTGCTTAATTTTCACGTTTAATGCATTAATTTAATATTTAAAAGGCCGGAATTTCATAACTCCTAGAACAGCCACAGAGGTCCTTTGAATTCTACATGCTTATTCATAACATATCATTTTGCTATGTCGGGAATTGTATTGTCTGACTGGAATAGCAGAAAAAAATCACAGTGTAATATATATGTTCAAAATGAGCACTATAGCCTTTTGAGGTAGACATACTCAGGAGAGGTGTGTGTGCTACTGAATAACAGCTGCCACTATACTGTCCAACTATCTGCAATAGTGTGGCACAAAGACAAAATGTAGTCTAATGTATACAGTCAAAATGACCGCTAATAGTCTCACTCAGAACTTTGTAATATTGTCAAAATTAGACTTAATAACGATGTCAGACTGAAAACAGCACTAATGTAGTAAATATCAGTGATCAGCAGACACGGGAGTTTTATTTTGCAAAAATGGTCACATCTCAAAAACTTATACATTTGGCCTTTGTAGTGTTAAGCAGCGTTGTGTCACATCTAGTGATGCATGATATCTAAATCATATCTGTATCAGCAAATGATGGTTGAAAATGATCATCATTGAATTATACAAATATATACCTACATTTGATCAATAATTCAATCCATTATTTGACGTATTTATTGCACTCTGGAAAAGCAGAATGTTTAGGTGACGATGGGCTGCTGTGCTACAACACCTGCATTTATTTATTTTACTGCATTTGTACTGCTGTAGAAATAATGTCTACCACATATCATAAACTTAATGTTATAACACTTAGCTGTGACACAACTGCATAATTAAAACAGTTAAGATGTAAATAAACTCATTCAGAGTGTTTTGATGTGAAATGCTCTATTCTAGTGAATGTTGGTGACAGCAACCACACATCCAAAGCAATTAGTGTGGTTGTTTTGGATAGTAAATAAAATGGCTATATTTGTGTTGTAGACATGGTGACTCCAGGTTTCTATCACCACCAGTTTCTCTACAATGAAACATTCAACATCAAACCACTCTAAATAGCTGTTCACACGTCAATAATTAAATTATGCATATATTTTGAAAATAAACTGGAATTCCCCTTTGAAGTGGAGGGAACCAGCATGAAGAGGCTACTACAATGTCTGCTGAACTGGGAAATATTACTGCCATTTGATTCAAAATGTTCTTTGTCACAACACTTCAACAGTCACTGATGAAATAAAGGCAAAACACTTAACTGTAATTGAATATAATCTCAGAAAAATGGGATGAATATTTGCACCCAAGGCTGTGCGATAAACAGAGTCCGAAATATAACGCAGTGGTGCATGGTACTAATTTAAAAGGAACCTTTTAAAACTCGCTTACGAGGCGGAGTACTGTGTTTGGCCTCGGCACAACACCAGACATGCTCTTTATAAGACGCATCAGTGAATTGCACCACTGCAATTACAGCCTGCTAAAACTAAACCGCAGGCTTTGGCCAGCTGTGGCTACCACCCGTCCCTGCCCACAGCTCAAACTTACACAATGTCCAACGGTCATCGCCCTTATGGGCTGCTCCACTGCAACATCCTGACATGTGCCAAATTTGTTCTCTGGTGGACCATGTTTGCTGTGCTTGGTCCCAGAATAAACAGCATACAGCACTTTCAGGCCCAGTGGATCCTGCTTACTCTTTTCTTTACAGGCACTTACAAACAGAGGTGGGCAAAATGACATTTTATTGTTATAGTGACAAATTATGCAACGATATGCAGTTCTGAGCATACTGTGGATATTATTAGTACTTAAAAGACAATGATCAAGTGCATGTTTGCATAATTAGTCTTGTTGAATTAGATTTAGTGCTGTGCAGAATGTAAAATAAAAAAAACATTTTACTGTATCGTTTTTGATACGGTTTTAAATGAGACAATACTTGGACTATTTTTTTAATATCAAACCTAAGAAAAACTTAATACTGTGATATTGTATATTATATTGCATATCATAAAAATGTCTTCAAGTAGGCCTGCATTCGGTGCAAGTTGACCAAGTTACCGTGGTAACAACCCACAGTGATTTAAAAACCTGATTTTTATTTATTTATTTTCATTTATTGATTTATTTCATGAAGCTGATAGTAAGACGGTATTTCTACACATGAACATTACTGAACCTTTAAACATGTTAAGTAATGTGATATTCTACATTAACACCACATTTACTGTACATAGTAGTGGGCAGTATGGTCAAACATTTATATGATGGTATAATTAAAATTTCTGACAGTCTCAGTATATATATCATGGTATATATACATTTTTCATATGAAATTATTTTAGATGCATAAGTATACCTATTTTTGCAGGTCATGAATAGTTTATTATTCTTGGATGTCCCTTCACTTTTATTTAATAAAAAGCATTTTTAAAAAACAGTGTAAGTCAGGAATATTTTATTTTGTTGAGCAAAATAGCAAAAACTGAAACCTAGATCAATATCGCTTGATAACTCGCCTCTCAGGCCTGCTTAAAATGCCAACAAATGTTGTTTCCTGTCTGAAGATGTTTTTTCCTTATCCGGCAGCTTTGTGTTAAAATTTTCCATTCCACCTTAACTGTAGCAGCAGTTACATTCTTGCACCTGTACAAGCTCCTGAATTAACTGCTACACCATTTAAGGTGGAACAAGAAATTCAATTTAAAAGGAACTTTAGCTAGGTCGAGTTTATCAAGTTTATGTTACTGTGACTTTAAGACTGATATATGTAAATGAGCTTTTGATTTGCTGCTATATTGTACCTCTTTCAAAAAGCAGGCCAGTCTGAAACACTGTCTAACTTCGGTGACAGTGGGAGGACCTTAACTGATGTAGGCTAAATAGGCACATATGCAAATGTGTTGGTTTTCACATTACATCACAAAACAATTAATTCAAAACAGATATGGACTGTATGGTCTGGGAAGTCAAATGAAAGTTATGCAACTATTTTATTTAACTATTTAATTTTAAAAAATGCAAATAAATAAATAAATACATACATTTTCTATGATTCAGGCCCCTTAAAAGCTCAAAATATTTCATCCTTCTCATATAACATTACCATTTTGGAGGTATAAGGTTTTGTTGGAACATTCTGGAATATTCTTGCATTTTTCTAAACAAAACAAGAAACATAGAATAAAGAGAGAAAAAACGCCACTCAAACTGTGGGAAGTTGTCCCGGCTTGATATTTGCTCCTGTTATTGATTACTGAGAACATGTAAACGGATGCTGAGTGCCCTCTCGGAGTGAAGTGTTTTGGGTTACGCATTCGGTATCTTGGCCCGTTGTGGTTTCCTGAGTAACGTTACGAAAGTAAAGCCTGGCCTTTACTCACTGCCAGATGCAATGGAGCTAAACCAGTGACCAGCATCCAGCTCCTTCTAAATCAATCCTGCGTGACTGCCAGGGAGACCACCAACACCCACCAAGCCCCCCACCCCCGTGTCCCTCCCTAGGCTCTTTACATGCATGGCCCCAGAGGAACGCTCATTTCTCCCTGAAAGGGCGCAGGATCCATTCTGGTCACAAGGCCCACTGCATCGGCCACAGACAAAGACCCCTCTGTCCCGGCCCCTGGCTCTTTTACATGCTTGATGGGAGCCCAGCAACTCAGGCCAACTCAGGCCTCCCCCCAGCCCCGCCCGGACGCACTAGTGATGGAAAAAAAAAAGTTCAATGGCAACAGAACATCTCTCACTACAGCTAAACAATGAGAACTGAATGTAGATACTGCACTGCTAATAGGTTCACAGTTATTACTCATACAGCACATTATATCCACTAGTTCGATATCATGCCATATTAACAACTGTTTCGCTATTTTATATAGAATAATAATAAAAATGTGGATTTAAATTTTACAAACATTTCACCAAAAGGTATTTTTAGATACGTTATTCAATATCATCATCATCAATAAAGTCAGTGAATAAAAAGAGAATGAAATGATAAGAAGTATATCTGTACAATGATGAGCCAAAACATTATGACCAATGCCTAACATGCTGTCGGTCCTTCTCATGCCACCAAAACAGCTCTGACCAACCAAAGCATGGACTTTACAAAAAGCTCTGAAGGTGCCCTGTGGTATCTGGCACCAAGACATTGGCATCAGATCCTTTGCGAGGTGGAACAGCACTGCTATGAAGGGCTGAACTTGGTGTGCAACTATGTTTAGGTAGGTGTCAAATTGACGTCCACATGAATGCCTTGACCCAGAGTTTCCCAGCAGAACATTCCCACACTCCGTCCACCAGCTTGTCCTCTTCCCACAGTGCATCCTGATATCATCACTTCCACAGAAAAACAGCGCACACATACTTGGCCGTCCATGTGATGTAAACAGAACCTCAGACCAGGTGACCTTCTTCAATTGCTCCAAGGTTCATTTCTGATGCTTGCGTGTCCATTGTAGATGCTTTTGATGGCAGACAGGGGTCAGCATGGACACTCTGAACACTCCGTGGCTACACAGCCTCATACGCAGGAGCGTGATGGAATATATTTCATAATGCGTATGATTCACAAAACTAACTAGATTTTCATTTTTGTAGGTCAGGGGTCAGCAACAGGCGGCCCCAGAGCCTCATGCGGCT